ATGAGGCATAGCGGGCTGACAGTGCTCATCAGTGTGTGTCAATTGTATACATTCCTTTTCCTTTCACCTCAGTCTCCACGGGCTCCCTTGCTCAGCAGTATGCGCATCCTAATGCAACCCTGCATCCGCATACTCCCCATCCTCAGCCTGCGGCCACTCCCACCGGACAGCAACAAAGCCAGCACGGTGGAAGTCATCCTGCACCCAGTCCTGTTCAGGTAAGGAGAGCCATGGCTTGTATCTGCACAGCTGCTTCCTTGTCCCTGCTACTTATAAGGCTCTGTGTGATCAGGATGTATTGGAGTAGCCATCCTTAGTAGCCACAGCTATCGTGGGTACAGGGGAGGCCTTAGAAATGTCATGTCAAGTAGGCCATACCTTAAGAGTAAATGCCAGAAATATGAGTGTTGAAAAGCTGCTTCAGCTTAAGGTTCTTAGTTAAGTGTAAAGTACTCTCTGGAATTTCGTTCCTGAAGCCAAGCAGTCATTCTGCCTTCCTGTTGGTTTCTTCAGTCACATGTGCTAGTGGAGCAGTTAATACCTCTGATATTTGTCAGTTGCTCCACCTCAGCTCGTTTGGACTTAAAGCTGCCTGGCTGAGACTTGGGCTTGAGTACCCAGAAAAAAATCATGTGGACAGGGGATGCCTCATGCTCTCCTTTCTGCACCTCTCTGGGCTGAGGGAAGTGCACATGCGTGCCTGCCTCAGTGTGTGCCTGAGTGTGTGCTGTGCTGTGTTGCTTTTGTTGTATAAAGCTCTGATCCTAATGGCTTCTCAGTAAAGAAGTTTCCCATTGCTTTGCAGCACCATCAGCACCAGGCCGCCCAGGCTCTTCATCTGGCCAGTCCACAGCAGCAGTCAGCCATTTACCATGCGGGGCTGGCACCAACCCCACCTTCCATGACACCTGCCTCTAATACACAATCTCCACAGAGCAGTTTCCCAGCAGCACAACAGACAGTCTTCACCATTCATCCTTCTCATGTTCAGCCGGCATATACCACCCCACCCCACATGGCCCACGTACCTCAGGTAAACCAGCACTAGCCACGTTTCTGTGAAGGCCACATAGGGTGTGGTGGTTGTCAGATAAGCAGCAAGGAGCCAGATGCTCCCCAAGCCAGGAAACCCTGTGTGTGGTGCCATCTGCCCGTTTCCCCTTTCCTGCTTAGTACGTGATCTTCTGGCCCTCAGTGAATGTTGCTATGATTTTGTGGTGGATCAGTAAAATTGTGATTTAGCATTTCCCAGCCGAGACCTTAAAACTCTCTGAGTCTGGAATGCACCCCAGTCCTTCCCTTTCTGTGTCTGCTTTGCTACGTCTCTCTAGCTTCACCACTATGTGTATATGTGTACACATACAGACACCGCTACACACACGCACACATGGGAGCCTGAGGGCAGGATGGCAGGCAGGCCTTCAGTGGTTCTCAGCTCTCTGGGGTGACCTGTTAGCCTGAGTGTTAGTCACATGGATTCTGAGAAGTGTCTCAGTTGTTTGCCTGGTTACCCTTTATCTGCTGCAATCCTGTGTTGTGCTTCCTGAGCGCTTGGCCTTGGCCTGTGGTGCAGTGAAACTGAAGCTCCAGGGTAGCCCCAAGATCATCTGGAGCTTTCTTTCCCCCAGTGTAAAGTCTGAGGTTGAAAGGTGTGGTTGTTGATAGAGCCAGGGCAGCCCAGGGCCAGAGGGAGGCCCGCTCTGTAGCTGTTAGCACAAGGTGGCTGCATCAGATTTCTCTGCGACTTTCGATCAGTTCCATGAGGCAGGGTCTCACTTAGAATTACTGAATGATTCCATTTCCTGTCACAGTGTGCCAGTGAGGCTCTGGCAAGGTGTGAGCTACAAATGCTGTGTAGCTGGGTCTCTTGCAAAAGGCTAGCTTGTCACTAGGTGTCCTTCCCCCAGAGCTAAGGGTCCGAAGGATATGCTCCTGTTGATTGGCTGGCGACAGTGGGGAGGGGAGCCAGTTTGGTCAGTGTGCTTTGCTGGAGTGAGACTTGAGAGAGTCAGGGTCCTGTTAGTGTCTAGCAGAAGCTGTGAATTTACGTGCCAGATGGGCTCACCCCAAACCTCACTCGTGTGTTTGTGTAGAAGAGAAGAGGCTAGCGTAGGAAAGCAGAGAGCCATGGGCCTGTTTGAAGGTGTGAACCAGTGCTTCGCTGGGGTGACGGTCTAGTGCAATGCAGAGGATGGGAGGCAGGAAGCAGCCTCTTCCTGCTCTGCCCACTGCCTGCAGAGCCGAGGTTGAACTCATCAGCCAGTCAGCCAACATCACTTTTCTGACTTAAACTTGCTGCCACTTGGTACGGAGCACCAGGCTGACCCAACTTCAGATCATTCCCTCTCATCTCAGTGGAGCCATTAACTGCAGCCTTTGCTCCATCAGCTAAGCTTTTAGATTGAGGGGCCTAAGTGTTGCTTCACCTACTTCAGGGGAACCCATCATGACTGGGGAAGGGCGGAAGAGGAGAGACTCAGGAAGCTGCTGAGGGTGCTGGGAGGCAGTCCCCTCAAGGCCCTTGTCAGTTGCTCTCTGACTTGAAAAGGGCATTGATACTTTTGGCCCTGTGCCATAACAAGCTAAGAAAGTGCCCTTCCTACCCAATAGAGGCCTGCTCTTGGTAAGGACCTTGCCCTGTGTGGTAATCTGAGCAGACATGCTGGGGACTAGGAGGCTGTGGCCAACTTCCCCATCTCTACCCTGCAGGATCTGCCTCAAGGTGACCCAAGTCGTCTATCTTGCCCCTTCTTGAGCCCCAGCCCAATGAAAGGAACAGTTGACTTGTTGTTTAAGACGGAGATGTTGCCTGTATGCGTAAAAGAGCTCTCTGTTTCAGGCTCATGTACAGTCAGGAATGGTTCCTTCTCATCCAACTGCCCATGCGCCAATGATGCTAATGACGACACAGCCACCCGGCGGTCCCCAGGCCGCCCTCGCTCAAAGTGCACTACAGCCCATTCCAGTCTCGACAACAGCGCATTTCCCCTATATGACGCACCCTTCAGGTGAGGCGTGTGTGTGCAGGGGCCGCCGGGGCACCCCGAGCATTCTGCTCGCACAGGTTGAACGTCAGGCAGGACCAGTGCTTCAGGCTCCAAACCTGACTAGCAAGGCCCGTCCAAGTGTGCGCAGGAGGGATTGTGGCGGTCAGGGAGCATCAGGGCTCAGGGCCTCTGGAGCTCAGTCTGTGTGTGTTCTGCTGGTATCAGGGTTGGCTTGAGAAGCAGCAGCCTCATTCTGGGTAGCTGATGCATGCCGAGGACTCAGTTGGCCTTCCTGGTTATGTATGACAGGCTGGATAGGGCAAGCGTGTTCCTTCCTGAGTCCTTACAGGCTGATGTGGGGGGTTTATGCCCATGGCCGAGTTTGATTGTAACTTGGAGAACACTGATGAGCACGTGCTGTGTGCAGACTGGTTTGAGTGTAGTTTTCACCCCAGCCTGTGCCCTGACACAGGACACCCATGATGTCTCGTACTAGATGGCTGCTGTGACAACACCTGTCTCCCCTGTGACTTGGAAAGCAGTGGTGCTTGGCTAGTGTTAGTGGGAGGGGGTGTGAAGGCCTGTGCTCCTGCCCCACAAGCCCAAGTCCAGGACTTGCATTTGAAGTGGTTTTACGTCTTGACTGGTTCGTTTCTCCTCACCACCCCCCCCCCCCTTCTTCCCTCCCCAACCCCACCTTGGCTGCAGCTGGGGGGAGGGGGCAGCATTAAAACTCCAGTCTCACTCAGCTAGCACAAGAGTAGTTAACAGTAGTAGGCTGCAGACACTAGGCTGGTGGGCAGTGGTGCCTGTGTTGTTTAAATAGCCACTTTTCTTTTTTACAGTACAAGCCCACCACCAACAGCAGTTGTAAGGCTGCCCTGGAGGAACCGAAAGGCCAAATTCCCCCCTCCCTTCTACTGCTTCTACCAACTGGAAGCACAGAAAACTAGAACTTCATTTATTTTGTTTTATAAAAAAAAAAAAAGATACACTGATTTAACATCTGATAGGAATGCTAACAGTTCACTTGCAGTGGAGGATGTTTTGGACCGAGTAGAGGAATGTAGGGACTTGTGGCTGTTCCATAATTCCATGTGCTGTTGCAGGGTCCCGCAAGTACCCAGCTCTGCTTGCTGAAACTGGAAGTTATTTATTTTTTAATGGCCCTTGAGAGTCATGAACACATCAGCTAGCAAAAGAAGTAACAAGAGTGATTCTTGCTGCTATTACCGCTTTAAAAAAAAAAAAAAAATCAAGACTTGGAACGCCCTTTTACTAAACTTGACAGAAGTTCAGTAAATTCTTACCGCCAAACTGACGGATTATTATTTATAAATCAAGTTTGATGAGGAAATCACTGTCTACAGTGGTTCAACTTTTAAGTTAAGGGAAAACTTTTACTTTGTAGATAATATAAAATAAAAACTAAAAAAAAAAAATTAAAAAATAAAAAAAGTTTTAAAAACTGATACCCAGTTAGTGTGTGTTTGTGTCAACTCCTACTGCTGTGGGAGGCAGACCTTGGGCAGGCAGGCTGGGTATGCTCTGCTCCAGTCTCCAAGGAGGTGCTGACCAAATGACTTTTCTTCTTCACCTTCAGTTCTTGCTCAAGGTATCTAGAAAAAGTCAAGACTGAGATTCCCTCTCAGGTGGATTAGCAGTTGGCTTCAGCAGGAGGAAGGCTGGCCAGAGGTGGGCAGCAGTCAAAGGTCCACATCTGCAAGCAGGTGCAGACTCTGTAAGCTTACTTTTCCTTATCTACAGAACCAAAGTCATTGTTGATCTGAGTTATCCCAGTTCAGACCTTTATTACCAGCAGGGGGCAGAAGACACTACTTTAAAAGGGAAACAAATCTGACCAGGCTGGGAGTGAGCGGCTGAGTATTTGCTTAGTAGCACAGACCCTTGGTTCCATCCTGGGAGGAGAGATCCAGGCAGCAAGAACGAGGCTGAGCATGTGCTTATGGGGGCTATAAGGGAAAGGCAAGGATGTGGATGCAGAGATCATGGTCATAATTCTGAAAACCTTTTTAATTCACGTTTAGCAATTTGTACATTGTAGCAAAATTTGCATTATTCAAGAATAAGTTACTCATACAGTACATAAAACAAAAGCTTGCCAAATACCTTCTGATATGATAGATGAAATCCCCTCTTCCTATTGTCCCAGTGCTGCTTACTCCAGCCGCATGCTGTTAGATGTATTTTCCTTTGGGGGCAGTGGATGACAGTCTTGTCACTTGGTGTTTGCACCAAGGTAACATTTGAACACAAGATGGAGCCCTCAGGAAAGAGGTGAAGCCTTAATTTAGGTTAAGAAACTTAGGTAAAAATAGTGTTGTCTGGCCCAAAATTGTAATGATCACTGTTCCTTTTTCCTACACAGTCCAGAAATGATCAAAGGCAGAAGATTTATACAGAGAAAGCCATATGGATTGCTGGTCTAAAGTCAGGGCAGGTTAGTTGACCTAATTCTTTGTGCTGGTGACTATTAGTTTGTACTTGAGGAGTCAGGAGACGGAAGCAAGGGTGCAGAGACTGCTGAGCTACACTTAAGTCTCTATGGGATCAACTGACACTTCCTGCCTAGTGTGGCCTTGCCTGCCACTGGTGGCCAGTAAGGACTGCTGGGGCTGGAGATGGTATCTGCTGTTGACAGTGTGTGTGTCTTAGCCTGTTTCCCTTCAGCCAACTAGACCTCCTCTAGCAGAAAAGAAAAGGTGTTGGCTTAATGTCACTCTGTCACAGAGTCAGGAGAGTATTTTTTGTCATAATATGCTTAAATTTCTCTGATACCTTGGATACCTTTAAAAAGAAAGCCGTCCACATGGAGCTTGAGTTCCAGCCATGGAGCTTGAGTTCCAGCGCTGTGGGACAGAGGTGCTGGTTTATAGTGTCTGGCAGAGTCTGTGCAATCAGCCCCTTTTCTCTGGCACAGATCAGAGACAAGACTGGACCAGTGACTGAATATTGCTTATATCTTTGGTTCATACTTTGTGGGAAATAAAGGAAAGCTAGTTTGTTGTTTGTTTGTTTTTTTTTTTTTTAAAGATGGAACACAATTCTGCACCTGTGTTAGACCTGCCTTGGTCCATGAGCACAACAGTGGCTGTTCCAAGGTGAGGTACAGCTGGCTGCTTCTCCACCCACTAAGGGCCACACAAGCGCTTGCTTGCAAAGTACAGAGTAGCCAGATGAGGGGCCAGTGCTGTTGGTTATCAGCAGGGCATCGGCGTCTTTTGCCTCTAATGAACATGTCCCAGAATTAAGTTGATTCCCTTGAATCCTAAGGGCTATACCAACTGGCACTGTTTGTGCCCATGAGCAGCCCACTCCAGTCCCCATGAACTGCATCAGTTAGAAAAGATCAGACCAGTATAGGCCCCATCTAGATGGAGAGACTGTAGTTCAAGAGCATATTCTCCCACCAGTGACCGTGCTGCCACGTGGGACAGAAACACTTACAGTGAAATATTTCAGGAGTTTCTTCATAGTATGGTGTCAGCTCCCCTTTTGGCTCACGATCGAGCCAAGTAAGCCACTAGATGCCTGGGGCAGAGGCAAGCTATAAACGTGAGTTCACTACACAAACCTAGGAGCCCTTCCATCTGTGCTTGTCTATCCCCTGCCTGTTCATCCCATCCTCTGTAAAGCTGCTGTAAACCAGTCCTTCTCTCTCTCTCTCTCTCTTTTTTTTTGCATAAGGCACTGGGGTAGGAGGATGTCCCTTGCCACCCTTCTCTCTCTGCAAGCTGCCTAGATTTCCCTGAAAGGGTGACACACTTCATTCTCTCTACATTAGGGAGGATAGTGGCTACCCCATAGCAGGCGACTGTCCTGAGGATGAGCATACAGAGACACCAGCGTGCTAGCTTTGCTCAGGGCGAGAGAAGCAGGCGTGCTTAGCTGCCTCTGACTTGAGTGTGGCACGGGTCCTAGTAGGGCAGTGCCGTGAAGTAAGCTGTAATTTTAAATGGAAACCTGAATCCGTTTTTTAAAATTAATCTGAGGTAAAATGTTTAAAATCATTTTTGATCTTTAAGCTTGTCCCTCTAGCACAGCTTCTGTCCTAAAGCTAAGAGTAGCAGGATTATGAAGCATCCATCACCTGTGGCATGGAATGTGGACTTGCCAAGGAACTGGAGCTACAGGGAAGGAAACCATGTGAAAATCCAGGGACTGTTAGTGTTTTGTGCTTCCCGATGACCCTATGGTAAGAAGTCTGTCATCAGCTCTGTCAGTTTCCACTGCCAGCTCTGGGCCTGCAGCCCTTCTCTCCACTCCGGGATGGGGACAGGGCATAGGGTACCAGCTAGTGGCACCTGTGCACAAGAAGTACATCTGTAAACAGTGGGAGAAAGCCAGGGGCTAGCTGCGGCTGACAGGAAGCCTGTGACAGCCTGGTAGAGGGGCACATCAGAGCTGGGGAAGGCTGACAGCAGCCGGTAGCTCTCTGGAGGGAAGGAAGATGGTTACATTCACAAGTTTACGTCTCTGCACAGCTGTGAGAGAGGGGTGTACTGGTTGTCGATGGCCCGAAGGTGGCTCCGTGAAGAGGAGTCCATCTCATAGTCCGAGTCCCGGGTGCTGCTTACAGGCTCCAGCTCCAGGTGCCTCAGACTGTTGGCCAGTTCCTCAGGAGAAGGCACCAGGTGGAAGATCTGCTCCGGGGGTGTCACTCGGCCAGGGAGAGCCTCTGCGCCAAGGCCGGGAGGACAGCCAGCAGAGCTGAGAGGGGCAAGACCCAGCTCCGAGTCCCAGTGAGGAAGGGAGAAAGGGAAGAGGACAGTGTTGGAGGAACCTGGAGAAGTGACCAGGAGAGATGACACGGATGAGTCTTGAAAGTGAAGAAAGTGCACCAGACAAGAAGCTTGTGCATGTGTGCAGTTGCTGTGATACCACCCCTTGACAAAAACTTTGGGGTTCCTTACCTGGTGCCTGGGACACAACTACCACATAGCCAGAGAGTCGGACATCACAGGCTGCCCCACTCTCAAGCGGGATGGGGGAACGCTGGAAGTGGCGGAGCATGTCTACCACCGAGGGGAAGTGCAGGTGCTGCACACGACACTGTCCACGCTCTGTAAGCACCAGGCGGAGGTGCTATGGAAAGGGCCACACAGGGTTAGAGGTCAGCCAGCTGCCCAGGCTGCCCTTGCCCCACCATGGCCCACCAGTTCCTGCCCTACCTTGGCTCTGCCCTGTAAGTTGAATGTGAGCACATATTCCCCTCTCCGGGACTCGCTCTGCCGCACGAGGAACACGCCATGGGCATCAGGGCCCTGCAGCTGAACCAGCTGTGCAGCCCTCACTCTGGAGATAGGGCCATGGAACCAGGGGTAGCAGGACAGGAAATGATCTGTTTTCTGGCAGGCTGGGTCCAGCATCGCCGCTCCAGGTGAAGCACCTGGCAGAAAGATGGTGATGATGACCCACATGGGGGCTACACATGTCCAAGGACACCCAGAGGCCAGGCAACTGGCACATACCTTGATCTAGGGAGTCTGTGCTTCCCCTTGGGGAGCTGGCTGAGACAGGCTCTGCCACTAAGGAAAGGGGTAACTCTGTGTCCATATGCTCCAACCTGTAGGGGAAGAGGCCCGGTGAGGAGGAAGCCAGCAGGGACAATCAAAGAGAGCCAAGGCTGGGCAAGGGCAAGCCTCACCCTTGGCCTGTGCTTGCCCTGAGCTCTGCCAGCCATGAGTTCAGCTGCTGTTCGTCTCCCACCTCAAAGATGATGTCTGTCTGGTCCTGCACCTGCAGAGAGGAGGCATGCAGCTCTGCATCTGTGGAGAGAGCAGTATCTCCACAGGAGCAGTGTCTCCACTGACACTCACCTTCAGCACAAAGGTGTAGAGGTTGTCGGGCATCTCCAAGCGAGTGCACGGACGGACCTCCCGGATGCTGGAGCAGGCCTCTTGGAGCTTGGGCTTTGAGCTCTAGGAGAATGAGAAGACCACTTATGGCTTGTCCCTGGAGGCTCTCTGTAGGTATCCTTTTCCTGCACCTTCCTACCTGTCCTGCAGCTTCCCACCTGTGGGAAGTTCTCAGGAAGCTGTCAGTCAATGCAGTTGGCCATACAACATCACTGGTACATGCCACCTTTCTGGGTTTGGCTGGCCCTACAAGTGCCAGTTCCCAGGACAAACCTTAGGGTCAGAAGCCCTCTGGTCTTTTATTTCCTCTCATGATAAGATTGTCTTGCTGGCTGAGAAGGATCAGCTTCAGATCCTAGGCTGAGAGAGAAGCAGCTGGGAAAGCCAGAGAAGTAGGAAGGACAAAAGACTTGACAGACTTTTTCCCTCCCTCCGTGGCTTTTGTCCCAGGTCAGGAGAAACTACCAGGTGCTCCAGCCAAGTGCATCAGAGCCCAGTCTTTAACTCTCTCCGCTCCTTCTGGAGTCTACCCCCCATGCCATTATGAGCTTTGGCCAAACTGCCTGTTAATAGGAGTAAGGGGGGCCCGCTGGAGATTGGCCACAACTGCAGTGGGCTGGTCAGAGCTGGGGCTTTTCCAGCTCCCTGCACGAGCCCTAGAAGGATGAGAGTTACAGTGTATGTTCTGAGCTACCTGCTAGGATGCCTGAATATGTACTAGGCCTGGGACAGAGTGCATGAGCACTGGCCACTAGTCTACCTGGTTGGATTACTGAGAGGATGGATGTGGTCGGATTCTCTAGCCAGAATCCTAAGTACATTTGGAGCCTTACATTCCTCACCAACTGCTTCACTGGTCAAGCCTGGCCAAAAAGCAGCTTTCCAGACCCAACTTAGGGTAGCTGGAGACTGGAGTGTCTGGGCCATTTGAGTTTTTCAGTTTAAGTAGAATGTTCCATACCATCTACTTCTAGGCCAAGAAGTCAGTTTTTTTGTTTGTTTGTTTGTTTGTTTTTATTTTTGTTTCTAAGCTGTTATGATGCTGAGTGTATCTTGGCTTTCTACTTCCCTCTACTTTGCCCTGCCCTCTCCGGTGTGAGGGAACAGCTCTGCCCCCTTACTCTACAACCCCAGGCAGGCAAGGGGGTCTGCCTTTCACCAGACTTTGACTTGGGCAGCCGATGTGGGTGTTTCCAGGATGGTGGTCAGCTCTGTGTGGGTTATGGCACCCTGCAGTACCCTACCTAACACAGTGATAACAACAAGAAGCCAGAGGTCAGGAGTCCTGCCACTAGCTACTGCATCTCCAGCCTGCTGAAAAATGAGGCTGACGCTAGAGCCATGGCTACCTCTTGTACAGTCTTTGTACTGATTTCTGGTCCCTTAAAACCACATGGTTTCAGAGGGCTGGAGAGGTGGCTCAGTGGTTAAGAGCACTGTCTGCTCTTCCAAAGGACCCGGGTTAAATTCCCAGCACTTAAATGGCTGTAATGCCAATTCCAAGGGATCTGACACCTTCACACTAATGCACATAAAATGAAATTAAATAAATTATTAAAAAAAAATAACAGCACATGGTTTCATGTGTCAGGGGACAAAGGATCAGTCTTGGAACCCAACAGCAGACTTCAGCAGACTTCTAAATCTTCACAGGGCTCTGAAGCCACCTGGCCCAGGGAAGCCACACCCACCCAAGAAAGGAGCCTGTGGCTGCCCTGACATCCTCAGAAGACAGCTATGGCCCAGTAGGTGGCAAGCTTTGCCAAACTGCAAAATCCTGAGGGGAAAGGAGCCAGGGGACCAAGAATGGCTTTATTCCAGGACTCTGCCTAGTGAACCTCTACAGTCTCGGCAGGATACAGCCTCACTGTTGTCACCCTTTACTGCCTCACCTAGGCTGAAGCAGCTCCCATCCTAGAGCCTGGCTTCCTGTTACAGCTCTAGGAAGATGGAGGCAGGAGCGCTGGACTAACCTGCTGGATAACAGGAAGCCTTGTTTTTCAAAACAAAAACAGATACCCTGCTTTGTTCCAAACTAGATTTCAGTCAGTCAGATTATAGCATTACACAGAGACATCTGGGAGCCACCCAGTCCAGAAGCCAGTCCTAAGAGGGACTGACAAGTCTGACAGCAGACTGTTGAGACTATGTATCTTCCTGACTCTGGCCTCTTTCCCACTGTGCTCCTTATTCCCATCCTAGGCTAGCCAAGCCAAGTAAGGAAGTCTACAAATTCCAGGTTCTAGCCAAGCCTGGGCCAGCCCTGCTACCCTTCTTTCTCAAAAATTTCCCTACAGGTCAGAAAGATTTAGCACAAAAGGCCCCTTGCCCTGCTCTGCCCTAGGGCAGCAGATATCAAAGTTGTTAAGAAGTCACAGGGAATTGTTCCCAGCATAGGGAATCCTGTCTGCCTGTCAAGGCAAAGTGGATATTGAGGTCCTCGGAGGAAACCTTTCTGGGGTAAGAATTGAGGCTGGAACAGAAATGATGATGCTGAGCCCTAGAACTGCCATCAGCTGTGGTGAAGAACTGAGAGCCTTATGCCAGGAGCTCGGGAGGATCAGAGGGCAAAATGAGACAACTGTTTGCCCCGTGACAGAACAAGGTAGGACCAGCATGTATCATCAGGCCCAGACTCCAAAGAAATGACCAAGAAACAGCAGGGAAACAGAATCCACAGACAGAGCAGATTACCCATAGGGAACAGACTGCTGAGAGGTGCCTCCTCACATGAGATATTCTGGAAATAGATGGTTGTGCAGATAAGCTGAAAACCAATCAACTGTTAAAGCAAGAGTAAAATTTTAAAGAGAAATGGCAGCTGGGTCTATGGCTCACACCTTTAATCCCAGCACCCAGGAGGCAGAAGCAGGTGGATCTCTGGGTTCAAGGCCAAGCCTGGTTTTACAAAGTGGATAGTCAGGGCTACACAGACACTGCCGAAAAGAAAGAAAAAAGGCCAGTCACACTCCTCACTAGAAAGGGTTGGGTTCTAAATAGTTCAGCAGTTAAGATCACTCTGTGCTGCTCAATAAGGCCCAAGTTCCAGTTCCCAGCACCTGCCTGGTGGCTCGCAACCACCTTCCCAACCAAAGGGTCCAACACCCTCTTCTGACCGCTACAAAACAAATTATTAAAAAAAAGGAGTGCTTGTGCTGATGGGTAGAGGGTAGAGCAGAGCATTGGGAATGGCCACTAAGCAAGGGAAAGGCACCCGTAGCCAGCCATAGAGCCAAGTCTAATCCCAACTCAGACCCCTGCAGCTGCAGCCAGTGTGGAGATGGGGACAAGTCAGCAAGGACACGTGTATGTGCTTTGTGTCTCACATAGTGGTGTTTGTATTGTGATTTTGCAGCTCCTCAAAATGTTAAGCATTAATTGAACAGCCTACTACAAATATGGCACAGATGTTCAAAGTATTATTCACCATAACTCCCCCAAGTGGAAACAACCTAATTTCCACTTAGTCATGAATGGGGGGGGGGGGGGATATGGTAAATCCATACGAGGGAATATTATTTGGCCATTAAAAGGAACAAGATAATGGGTGTGACTCGGAAGCCTCCCGAAAGAAACAATGCAGATATAAAAAGACCACCTCCAGCCTGAGTCCTGTTGGGACTAACTAATGTCCAAGGAGAGTGTAATCATGGCCACACCACTCTGAACTAGTGAACCTATGCTATCCAGATCATCTTCCAATGGACCCTGAAGGTGGGGAGAGGAGCCCGGCCCAACCCAACATGGCCCTCTTAGGAACTCTACCCAAGGAGACACCGAGACCATGCAATGCTCTGTGCAGAGTTAACTGCACTGGGGAGACGCCTCAAGCGTCTCAAGTGGGTTCCAGGTGATGCGGGGCTGAAACACACCTGTCTGCCATACTGACAGATGCCAGCTCTAGTCATCTGCCCGGCACACTGCAGGGTAGGAGAAAGCCTCTTTGAGGAAGCCAGGTGGACAGCCATTTACTGAGATGCACTGTCCTCTGCAGCCAGGGATGGGAGGACGCTGGGTAGTCTATCTGTGGTTTTGGTCTCTTTAGACAATCCTTGTCATTTTCCTAAATGGTGGCAGCATTCTGAGGCCAACTGGCCCCTTTAAGACAACTGCCTAAGTAAGAGTACCTGTGCTAAGGCCAGGGCCAGGTGGCATGTCTCCCCCAGAAGGGTCTCTGTTCACTGGTCCCAGCCTTAGCCAGAGGAGAGCTAGCGGGGAGGGCTGGGAGCTGGCCCCCTTCTGAAGCCTTTGTTTCCTTTTCTGTTCACTAAAGCAGTGGGCAGGGGATTTCCCCAGCATGGCCATTGGACTATTAACTGGGGAGGGCACCTGGAAAACCCATCTTTTGGGTCTGGAGATTTCGATGCAGAGAGTCTTTTCTGCCCCTCAGGATGGTGATGTGCCAGAGCACTGTTTGCCGCAATGGGAAACTGAGGCTCACAGAGTCAAGTTAACAGCCCAGAGCTATATCCCAAGGACAAAAACTAAAATATGAGCTCAGACCTGCTCCTTCCCAGTGCCTACCACACTGCCCTTAGCCATGATCCCAACACTGCATCCACAGCCCTGACTCCTGATGGCTTCATCCCACAAAGCAACAGGACCATCTTCCATGACAGAGACTCTTGACAGGGTCCAAGACAGAGACTCTTGACAGGGTGGGGATTGACTGGCACCTCCTCTACGCAGGCATGCTCTACTGTGAATTCATACAACTGGAGCCTTTTGAAAGAAGCCCAAAGTGTCACCAGCTGCCTGCAGTGCTAGCAGAGCTTGGGTTCTGACTGATTTTTCACAGAACCCATTGAGGGAGTAGGATGGCTGTATATAGCAGGCCTCTTGGGAACTCTGGCATCTCTTTTTCTCTCTTCCCCTTCCAGTCTGGTAGGCTCAGCACAAGCCCCCTTGATTGTTCACAGTTCAGAGAAGCCTAGGCATCTGCCCCTAAGGTCCCCGGTAGGCAGGCCTGGCAAATACTGTGACATCTGGGTGTGGCTTCTGCAGGCAGGGCTTGCTCTGCAAACTTGGGTATTTAATACAACCCCAACCCTAATGTCCCATCC